ATCGCTTTCGATCTACACAATCCGGGATGGACACCGGAGGCTATTGATCGTTTGGCCGACGCCCTTGTGGAGTATTCTGACGTGTTCTCTACTTCAAAAACCGATTTTGGTTCCTGCACCATGATGCCGTTCACTCNTCTCTGAGGCACAGCGCTCCAGCTTCATGCGCTTGTGGGCTAGGCTGCCGCACATTGCACGACATCGCTTTCGATCTACACAATCCGGGATGGACACCGGAGGCTATTGATCTTTTGGCCGACACCCTTGTGGAATATTCTGACGTGTTTTCTACCGATTTTGGTTTCTGCAACATAATGACGTTCACGCTTTCTGTCCCAGCAGGGACGAAGCCCGTTGCATCACGCCCGTATCGTATCAACCCTTTGATGCAAAAGAAATTGGATTCCGTTTTGGACCAGTATTTGGCGGGAGGGCGCATTCAACATTCCACATCTCCGTGGGCTTCTCCTTTAGTTGTCATCCCCAAGAGGGACGGATCTGTTCGCATCACCGTCAACTACAAACGTCTCAAGGCTCTGGTGGATTTGGATGGACAACCTCTCCATCGATTTGACGGTATCTTGGATTCTCTGTACACCGGGAAAGTGTTCTCCATCTTGGACCTCAACTCGGCTTTCCACCAGATCGTTTGTGATGCAGACACTGTCCCGCTCACCGCCTTTTGCACTCCCACGCAGTTGTTCGAATGGCTTCGGATGCCGCAGGGCGCCAACGCAAGTCCGTCTTGGTTCGTCAAGGTCATCAACAGAGTGGTGCACGGTCTGGAGCGTGTGCTTGCTTATCTGGACGATGTCATCTGTTTCGATGAGGAACCTCTGGGACACGTGCTAAACTTGATCGAGTTCTTCAAACGACTGCGACAGTACAACCTCAAACTGTCTCCAGGGAAGGGTCGCGTCGGCGCCACGCACGCCAACTTTCTCGGTCACACCATCTCTCCGGCAGGTGTTAGCCCTGATGGCGTCAAGGTTAGGGCGCTCACGCACATGCCGCCGCCGAAGAATGTTAATCAGCTTCGGAGCCTGCTCGGTGGACTCATTACTGCTGGAAATTCCTCAGGAATCTCGCCACCAAGGTGCGGCCTCTCAACTCTCTTCTCAAACAAGGCGTCCCCTTCAAGTACACCGCGGGCATGGTCAAGGTGGTAAAAACGTTGATAAGCGAACTCGCTCGCACCCCGATTTTGGTCTTCCCGGATTGGGCAGCAATCGAGGACAACAGCCGTCCTCTTCGTTTGTGTTCCGACGCGTGCATCGACGGTTTCGGCGCCTCCTTGGAACAAGAACAGCTCGATGGCTCGGTAAGACCCACCGTGTACATCAGCCGCGCTACTCTTCCTGCGGAGCGTAACTGGACCGTTTTGGATCTGGAGGCTGGTGGCATTGTTTGGGCCATCAAACACCTTCGCGGTTATCTGTGGTCGACCAAGTTCATCATCTATTCGGACCACAAAGCATTGGAGAGCATTGGCAAGGTTGGGGAACACAACGCTAGAGTGCAACGATGGCTGGAATTCCTGTCCAACTTCACCTACACCCTGAAATATCGGAAAGGTTCGGCAAACGGCAACGCGGATTTTCTTTCGCGGTTGCCTTTACCAGCACAAGACACGGACAAAACGGCGGCCCCAACTGCATTGATGGTGTCGATCAAGCGGGTGTTTCCTTCATTTGGGCTTGCGGGCGCAACTATCACTCGTCGTCTACACCGGAGGTCGGTTTGGGTGGGCTCCACCCTCCTTGCACGGCAGGAGTTTTGTCGCGCCCAGCGTTGCAGCCCTCCGATTTTGGGGATTTTCGCCGACATCACCCGCGTCGGGTGGATGCTCTGACGGACTCAAAGATTGCCTGCGAAAATTCTCAGCGGTCCCCGGGGGTCTTCATCGTCTCGCCTGTTCTCGCATCTCCAGGGCCTGCTTCCTCATTGACTTCGGATGCGTCCCGCGTGATGTCTCCTGTCGCGTCTTTGGCGACTAGATATGTGCACGATTTTTCTTCGCTTCCGGAGCAGGGACAGCTCATTTCTTCACGGACTCGGGCCAAAACTACCGCAGTTTCCGGAGGCACCGTCACCGATTCCGCTTAATTCGGACGCCAGCCGTGGGCTACCATCGTCCCTCGGACATCGTCGCCTGCCCGTCGCTCTAGCAGGCCCCGCTCGACAAACAAGACCACCCGGACCGCCGCGCGTCTGCTGCCGCCATCCGCAACGCCGGCATCGGCGTTTTCGTCCACTGCTCCTGCACCACCGGTGTCTTCGCCGTCAGCGGCGCGCCTGCATCCCCGACTTCGCCTTCTCTACAGGTTTGGACTTCGCCACTCACGATGTCCCCTTCGCGGACATCACACACGGACTGCGGCTGCCCCAGTCGCTGAGGGTTCGCCTTCTTCCGCCTCTTCCGTTGGATCGCCTGATTTTTTTTCGGAATCTTCTGATTTGGACACCTCCCACTTGCGGGCTTATGTTCAGAGTTTCAGCACTGTGGACTGGGCTAGGGAACA